ATTTTAAAAGCTTGTTTAATAATACTGAGAAAATGCTATAAGACACTATTATATAGTCCCATTTTTTAAAAAATATGTTTTCATTTATTTTTTACAGAGAGAGGAAAAGGAAAGAGAGAAACATCGATGTGAGAGAGACAAATTGATCAGCTGCCTTCTCACGCTCCCTACTGGGGATCAAGGCTGCAACCCGGGCATGTGCCCTGACCAGGAATCAAACCAGGACCTCTCAGTCTACTGAGCCACACTGGCCGGGCTAGTCCCAATTTTTAAAATATGCATATGTGCATGTGTCTGTCTACAGGCTTAGGAAAAAAGACTGGAAGGATATTCCTCAAAATGTTAACTATGGGCATCTCTGAGAGAGGATTTTAATTTTCTTAATATTTTTAAGTACTTCCAAATTGTGAAACTTAAGCAAGTATAACTCATAGAAACAGAAAAGCTATTTAAAACAGCTAATTGTTAACTAATGCCATGCCATAATGTGAATAACTGAAAATGGGAACTCTGAATGAGGATAATATGAAAAAGGAGGATGACTGAAGATAAGTGGATTAAATGAGATAAGAAAAATAACAAAAAATGGCTGAGAACTAGTGAACATTCCAGACACCTTTTAAGGGTCAGAATGAGCTTTGTAGCAAAGCACAGGGAAAGAGGTAAATAAAGAAAATAGAAGCAAAAATGTGTACCAGGGGAGTTATTGATAATATTTGGTGAACTTAAAAGACATTCATGTGCAGTTAGCAGACAGAAATGAGTTAACTACTAAGAATCTGTTATCAAAATACTGTGAAGCATTTTATTTACTTTAACTTATTCCCAGATTTTCAAAAGACTGATATGAGAGCTGTACGCTTATATCCACTCAGAACTATAGTAATTAAGTGGGTGGGATCACTGAGGATAAGAAATACAAACTACATTTAAGGAACCATTTTCCACAAATGGGAGAGAATGAACAGGGCTAGTAGTCAGTGAGATACTGTGCTCTTGTTACCAGAGGCAGCTCCTTAAGAAAAATCAGTCTTTCATAAGGGTGCGGGGGGAGGTGAATTATGATGTATAATCTAGCAGTAGGTTACAAAGAGGCAAGTCTTGAATTTTGAGGAAATCATTTAGCAAAAGGAGAGGAGAGCTCTTTCCCTAGGAGAAGACAGGATCCAGAACCCAAGAACATGAGATTGAAACAAGCAAAACTCAAGGAAGTCCAATTAGTACATTCTCAGGAACTTCTGCCTTATATTTTATATTTTTTCTGTAATTGGTGGTAGGGAGAGGAGAATGAACATAGCTTCTATGTTTAACTTTAAAGGTGAATAAAGTAAGAAAAACTGGCCCACAGATACATTTCTATTATTACCTCTAAAGACCCTAACTGTTGTAGACCATCTCCTACTTTTCAAAATGTTTTTCTAATCTCTCTCTAGCCTCTTAAATACATCGAACTTCTACTTTAGACCTACCACTCCAAAAATAAATTTCAGAAGTTACTTTCCAGCCGCGAGCCTGCGTGAAGCTTGAGGAAAAGATTTTTATTTCTTGCTCTTGCTCTAGGACTCTCCCAAAGCTTAGACAGGCTTTAACTTTATCAGACTCTTACCTAGCAAGGTTGACTAGTTAATATGACTGGGGCCTAAACACTTATATTGAATAATATCAAAAATGTTGACTTAACTATTTCAATAAAATATTGCCTGATATCTATTGGCAAAACTAACGCCCTTATTATGAAAAATGGTCTTTTTATGTCACTTAACCTTCCCTCTCCTTACTAATCTCACTAAATATACAACCAGGTGGGCTACACAGGGCCTGTGGGAATGTCTCAAGAAGCTATAACTGACAACTCCATTGGAAAGGGCTAAAAAGTAGAAGTACACCTTCTCCAATCACCCACGTAATTTGGACAAAGGCACCATACCCTTCCCTTTAAGATGGCATGACCACCCTGGCCAGTTTGGCTCAGCAGTTAGAGCATCGGCCTGTAAACCAAAGGGTAGAGGGTTCAATTCCTGGTCATGGGCATATACCTTGGGCTGCAGTTTCGATCCCTTGTGCAGGAGGCAACCAATTGATATGTCTCTCATGTCGATGTAAAAAAAGTTTTAACCTCAACTTCACAACTCTGAATAAACAAAAGAACTTAGTAGACAAAGATTGACATGAGTCAAAAAAATGACCTTATACATGTGGTATTAGGCTTACATTAAAAAAATCTTTGGCCCTGGCTGGTTTGACTCAGTGGTTAGAGCATCGGCCCAAGGACCAAAGAGTTGTGGATTCAAATACTGTCAAGGGCACAGTTTGTCCCTGGCCCTGGTCAGGGTCACGTGGGAGGCACCTGGACTTGTGTCCCTCTCCTGTTGATGTTTCTCTCTCTCTCTCTCTCTCTCTCTCTCTCTCTCTCTCTCTCTCTCTTCTCCTTCCCTCCCTCCCTCCCATTCTATCAGAAAACAGATAGAAAAATATCCTCGGGTGAGGAAAAAAAAAAGACAAACACCTTTGGTCAATAATGTTTTTTATTGTTGTTAGTCCTCACCCAAGGACATTTTTCCATTGATTTTTAGATAGAGTGGAAAGGAGAGAGGGAAGGAGGAAGAAAGAAAGAGAAGAAAGAGGGGGAGAGAGAGAGAGAGAGAGAAAGAGAAAGAGAGAGAGAGAAAGACACATCTATATGAGAGAGACTCATCGAGTGGTTGCCTCCCACATGAGCCCAACCAGGGCCAGGGATCAAACCTGCAACCCAGGTACATGCCCTTGACCGGAAATCGAACCCATGACCATTCAGTCCTCAGACCAACACTCTAACTGCTAAGCCAAACCGGCCAGGGCAGGTCAGTAACTTTTTAAAATTAAAATTCTATGTTTTTCTTTATAATAATCTGCACAGAATTTCTACAGTAGCAAAGAAACTATAAACTTTTAAATATGAAACCATTTTTACAGTGGAATGTTCTTAATATAAGTATTTTCCAAAGTTAAAAAAAAAAAACTAGCCCTCGCCGGTTTGGCTCAGGGGTTAAAGCATCAGCCTGCGGTGCAGAGAGACCGGGTTCGATTCCTGCTAAGGGCATGTACCTCAGTTGCAGTTTGTCCCAGGCCCTGCTTGGGTCGTGCGGGTAGCAGCCACTCGATGTGTCCCTTTCACGTTGATGTTTCTCCCTCTCTCTCTCCCTCCCACTCTATCTGAACAAAAAATGGAAAAATGTCCTCGGATGAAGATAAAAAAAAAAAAACAACAACAAAAAAAACCTAAACAAAATTACACTTTTAATAGTAATACAAAATTTTTCCCCAGACAGATTGACCTAGAATCAAAATTTTAATAGCAAAGCTACAAAACTAAGTTTGGCAAAGTCATGATGTTTTCGCATCACCTCTGTGTCACAAAAGCATGACTATAAATAAACTGGAACAATTACACTAAATTACTGTTTGCTTTTCTACCTACCTGCTGTACACACTAGCTTCAATGCAAAAGGAACAACATTTCTGAATAGAAAATTAAGTTACCAAGCATGAAAGAAAATTATGAGTATGGAAGAACCTACTTAATGTTTTCATAAGAAAAAGACACATATATATTTGACATTTTCATTCATATGTTAATTACTCATTTAGGAAGAAGGTATATAATAATCTAAACTACAATCAATCAAACCTTCCAGAATAGTACGTTTGTGATAGATAAAAGCAATGAATCATTTTACTTCACTAATACAGGCATTTGTCAAATGATTCTTTAAATTAGTTCAAACAGCCCGGCTGGTGTGGCTCAGTGGTTGAGCGATGGCCCATGCACAAAGAGGTGGTCCATTTGATTCCCAGTCAGGGCACATGCTAAGATTGTGGGCCAAATCGCTAGTGGGGGGTATGCAGGAGGTGGCCAATCAATGTTCTCTCTCATGGATGTTTCCATCTCTCTCCCCCTCTCCCTTCCTCTCTAAACAATAAAGAAAAAAAATGTTTAATAAATACATAAATTAGTTCAAAGATCCCTTCCATCATGTGAGAACACAGCAAGATGTCGGCAGCCTGCAATCCAGAAGAGGGCCTTCACTAAAACCTGGACATGTTGGTCCCCCATCTCCAAAACCGTAAGAAATAAATTTCTATTGCTTATAAGCCACCTGGTCTGTGATATTTTATTATAGCAGCCCAAACTAAAGCAACCATGTTTGCCCTTCTGGAAATAATCATGACCTGGGTCAGCAGATCTGGACTCATCTACTGACATGGCTCCTTCCCTCCAGGTCCTCAGTCTCCCCACCTCTACAGGAAGAAGAGAACCACATGGGTTCCAAAGGACCCTCTGGTTCTTCCGATACCCTCTGGATTCAGTGGCTCTCTTTTGTGACTGTAAAAAAAAGCTGCAATTTTGGCTGAAGCTGAAAGGTGGATGGATAGGAAAGGCCCCTCACACTCAGGAGATGCACTCTGTGAGCTGCACCTCTAAGGGGGCAGGCAGTGAGGGGGGTTAGTGATGGAGCTTGGGGCAATCAAGCAATGAAGATGCTATAGGCAGACTGAACACTGGCCAGAAATAGGAGATGGGACACCTGGTTGTGAGCAACCCCCCCCCCCACTTAAATACATGACCCAAGAGCTAGTCCCTTAATCTGAGTCTTCATTTCCCTCTTGGTTCATGGGCGAGCAAGCAATGTGTCTGATGAACTGGGTTTTGAATCCTGAGGAGCTGAACAAACAGGAAGCTGCACTCTGGGCTCTGAGAAGATGTCACCCTCATAATGGGAGGGGCCAGTGAGGGGCATTCCTCCCACCCACCTCCTACCCCTGCTTCTCCCAATGCAGCAGAGCAAAAGTTGCTGATACCTCTAAACCCAACTCCCTACCACCTTCTGCCATTAGACTAAAGCAAGAAATTCAGACTAAACAAGAGCCACTGTGTTAAAATTTTATGTGAAATTCTGTAAATGTATAGAGTGGCCTGAGGTCGCCTGCCCACAAGGCCTGGCCAGTCGGGGCCCTGCAGCTCAGCACTTAGTGTGTATGACTACACTGCCCTGCTCCTCAAACTCTTCCTTGCTGACCCAGAGCTGCTGGAAGGCCTGCAGGGATGCCAGGATGGAGCCACCGGTCCACACGGAGGTTTTCCTCTCGGGTGCAGCAGACACTATGGGGCTGTCCCGGGGGCAGAGGAGGCTCAGCTCCCTCTGGAAGCGCTCGGGGAAGCCATCCAGCATGGTGCAGCCACCACACAGCAGCACGTTGGCAGCCATCTCCTCCTTGAAGCCTGCCCCCTGGCAGTGGCCCAGGCAAGTGGCTGTGAGCGCAGCGAGGCCAGGCAGGTTGCTGCCCACTAGGACGGGCTTGAAGAGCATCTCGGCGCACTGGAAGCGCTCATGGCCAATGGTGATGAGCTTGCCATCGGGGAGCTCATAGTCCACACGCAGCTCCTCCAGGCTCAGGCCAAGCTCCTGCTCAGGCAGCAAAGCTGAGTAGCAGCACGTCTTCTTGATGTGCTCGATGATGTGCAGGTGGTCGTCAGTAAACTTATTGCCAGCCTCATTGAGCAGCTGCAGCAGGTAGTTGGTGAGGTCGCTCCCGGCATAGTCAGCTCTGCCTGTCAGGCCTGGCAGCACGTTACCCTCTGAGATGGGGACCACGTGTGAAACACCGTGCCCGCTCTCCACCACCAGCCCTGTGGTCTTGCCATAGGAGTAGAGGGACAGCAGCGACTGAGATGTCACGTGCATGGCGGGGATGCCGAAGGTCTCGAACAGGAGCTCTGCATACTTCTCCCGGTAGCTGGTGGGGCTTAGCGGAGAGTCGGAGACCAGCATGGCGTACTCCTCAGGGAGGATCCTCATGGCCGTGTGGAAGATGTACTCCCAGATGTTCTGGACACAGTCCCAGTCCACCACAACGCCGTACTTCAGAGGGTTGACCAGCTTCAGAGGTGCCTCCATGTTGAGCAGCTCGTGGCCCACGTAGGTCTCCTTGCGGGCATCCCCCACATCCGCCACCTCGGAGCAGCGCTTGCCCACCGTGGAGGAGATGAAGTAGGTGGGCCTGGGCTCCCCTGCATAGCCACACTTACAGTACTGCGAGCCCAGGTCGATGATGAGCGCCCTGATCTTGCTCACATTCTTGGGCTTCATTTTCAGCTGAGTGGCTGAACCTGTGTCCCAAATGCCAGCATCAGGAGCTGACAGAGTTCCTGTCTCTCCAGGGTCACACTGAGCCTTGTTCAGGCTGTTCCTTGTTGCCATCTGCTTTCCTTGCTCACAGCCACATCCTAGAGCTCCAAGGAAAGAAATGGGGGTCCACCTCCAGCAGTGCCTTGGCAACCACTCAGGATTGTGATGTCACTGGGGGCTGGTCCATTCCAGTGACATGGGGAGGGTGTGGCCTTGGCGGGCCCATCATAGACTGTCACCCTCCACCCCCATCGCCTAACTTGACTTTGCTCAAGATAGAGGAGGTGGCCAGGAGTTTTAGAAACCCAAGCTCACTGGGGTCTCAGAAGTTTCTGTTCCTGCCCCCTTACATCCCATTTCTAATTCCCCGCTCACTAACTGGACACCTTTTCCTCTGCTTCTTGGTTGCAAGAGTGATACATATTTGAGCCCTTATGGTAAGCCAGGCACCGTACCAGGCACCCCACATGTTACTTCACAGAATCCTTTGAAGCAGGCAGAGCTGAGGAAATTGAGGCTCAGAATTCCAGTGACTTGCCCACAAGCACACATAACTCTTGGGAGTGTTTGTAGTTTAACCCAAGTTCACCAACTCCAATGCAAAAGGTCTCCCTAAAGAGTGTGAGGGCCCCAACAGTACTTTCATTCCTTCAACATTTACTGGAGTTTGTGGTAGGTCCAGCCCAGTACAGCCTGCCAGTGATAGATAAAAAGCCAGCCACAACCCATGGCCAGACTAAGTGGGAAGAAGATGGAAGGGATGCAGAGGAGCACGCAGGTGAAAGTCCATTGGCAGAGCAGAGGTGCACAGAGGGAGCACTCACTGGAAGGAGGGAGTCAGAAAGTTCCCCAGAGAGGCGATGTTTAAGTCAAGTACTGAAAGATGTGTGGGCATCTGTCAGGTAGTTAGGAGGAGGGAAGGCATCCCCGGCAGAGAGCACAGCCTGCACAAAGGCTCAGGGGGGCATGCTGGGGAACTGCCTGTAGTTGAGGTGTTTGGAAAAGTGGATGAAGCTAGAGAGGTCATGGAGCCAACCAGGGAGGGCCTCAAATGCTAAGAGTAGGAGCTTGGATTGAACTGAGGACAGCTGGAAAACAGATAAAGACTTTACTAAGCAAAGAAGTGCTCAGATCTGACTTCTAGGAAAATTTTAGAAAGCTCTGTGTTTAGCTGTAATATAAAGGGACAAAACTCTGAGACCTGAAAAGAGAACTGAAGAAATTATTTTTTAAAATATTTTTAAATTGATTTTTAGAGCAAGACAGAGAGAGAAACATCGATGATCAGCCCCTACATGCATGCCCCACACTGGAGATTGTGCCCGCAACCTGGGTATGTGCCCTAACTGGGAATTGAACCAGTGACCTCTTGGTGCATGGGTGGAAAAAAATTCTTGTAAGACTCGAAGGTGGCCTAAACTAGGGCTGTGATAATATGGGAGAGAGGAAGGGACAGGTGCTAGGAAAGTTTAGAAGGTAGAATCGATCTAACTGATTGGTTCCCTGACTGTCCTCAGTTCAATCCAGGCTCTTGCTCTGGAGTGTGAGGCCTGTGCCATCTCTAGCCTCAGGTTTGCATTCACACTAGATGACTGGATTAGGTGTGGTGAGTGAGGGAGAAAAACGAACCTCTTACCTCTCTGCCCAAAGAAAGATGGCCTGTCATTCAGAATGGACAAATTCATTAAGTTCCCATAGGGCCCTCCACCCCAAACTGCCCCCCCACACACCAAAAGACAAACATATTAGGGCTTTGGTGATAAAGAAATAAGAGAAAAGTGGGAAGAGAAACAAGTGGAGCGGAGGAAGTTTTCAGAGAGAATTAGGAGCAGACGTAGCTGAGGTATTAGGTGACATGGATAGAAAAGAAAAGGGGGATTTTCAGATATAATTAATACTGCTATCAAGCATGTAAACATGCTAATGAAGAAAACATGGGAATTTTTGTTTGCTGAGCTGTTTCTGGAACATGGCACTATGAAACTGGATTATCCTAGTTCTGAGCATCACCAAGCTCCGCTGCTGCTGTCACAAATCACAGAGCCTGAGGATGGCACACTTGATCTGGAACAGCTGTGAGTCATGAACTCTTTCTCACATTGGACTAACATCTGTACCTCTCTGAAGAAGCCATTAATTGGTCTTGGGTCTACTTTTGAGGTTGTGCAGGGCAAGCTAATTCTTCCATGTGACAACCCTTATGCCATTCAAATGCAATGCTCACAGAAAAATAAAATAAATAAATAAGTTAAGAATGGGTACATTTTACTAACAGTGTATGATGCAATTCAATGGATTAATATATACTACTGAGTTTTATATAAAAAATTTTAGGACAAACCCAAAATGTACTTTACTTCTTTCTTTAGCTTTAAGAATTGAAATCATCATTGAAGGGAAAAAATAAAATATTATACCTGGATCTGAATGGAAGGAGCCTCTAGTGCTCTGTAAACCATTGGTAGGACACTGTTCTTTATCTCATCAGGAGGAGTTTTGGTTAGTAGCAAATCCATTTTTTGTAAAAAAATTAACAAAATCTGTGTAGAAAAAGGGAACAGTGTATTAAAGCCCAGAATCTTTACCTGATTTTACATCTGCCAAAATTTAAAGTGTCTTCTAAAGAAAAAGTTATATATTTTTACACTCACCATGTTGCTAGCCTGAGGGCATGGAAGACAAAAACATACAAATCAAGTCTCTTACATTTCGGAAAGCACAATATTTAACATCTGCTCTCAGTTTAGGCATTGAAATAAGACGGATTTCCTAACTCTCGCATATACTCAGTAACATATCATTCACCCACAAGTACCAACTATCGGGAAAGCAACTGAATAAAGAAATACAAGCCTGAGGGCAGCAAAATCACAGGGCCAAAGAAATAAATTCTATCACTGCTTCTGTGAAGCTCAAGAGAGAAGAAAAGGTACAGGAGTAAAAAGGGCTATCAGGAAAAATCCTAGAAAGAAATATTTCAATTTGTTTTCCGACCTAGCTGCTACCACATATCTAAATAATAAGGAACACACTACCCCTTCTGTTCATGAAGAACACCTAGCCTTGCCAAGGCTCAGTTAAACTCTTTCAAAGGAATTTTTAGTTGAACTACTAAGGGAAAAAAGAGTACCAGAGAATAGAGGCAAATAAGAATTCAGATGGTAGGTTCCTCTGATACTATCTTGACTGACGCATAACTTAGTGAACATGTGGCTCCACTACTTTTCTGCTAATGTCTTAACAGTGTTTGCACACTTCTGCTTCAACACAGTTCCCTCACCTGCCCTTCCCTACTACAGTAACTCCTGCCTTACCACCAGACTTCCTTCTGTTCCCCTCCTTTCAAGGAAAGAACTGCAAACAGCCTGCCACAAAACCATTTAATCAGGTAGCTTACAGTCTACTAATAAGCTATTGCCATGTAGTGGCAAATTTATTATGTGCCAGAAATTTTCATTTACTCCCAACAATCTCTTTCATTTTGGAAATGAGCAAAATGGAAGCTTTAAGAGAGTAATGACTTGTTCAAGTAAGGAGATAAAGAAGGACAGATTCCAACTCAGGTGTATGATCCTATTGCTCTTAAATCCAAGACTACACTTGAATCTGGCAAATACATACTGTAATAGAGTCTACATCAGAGACTAATTATGTTTTTCATTTACAATACACACACATATTACTTTTGGGTGCTGGAAGCATTTTCACTTTTCTATTAAACTATTCATTAACAATAAAATAAAGAGAAAATACTACCATAAACCATCTATAAATGAAAGACCCTAAATAACAAAACAAATAAAAATAATTATAAATGTAAGAGAAAAATATATACTCCTTTTTCCAAACCTATAACTTTCAATAAGGCAAATGGAAACGATATAACACAGGTAAAATCTCATTACCATTAATTTTCTGAGATGGTTACTTACAGAGAGCTGCAGACATTTACTTGGTGTGTTCAATTATAATTTCAGGAATGGTTCACTTCAAACATGCAAAATAGCTGACTAATGGAAAAGAAAAGTCTCATATACTTACCTCAACTTTTTAAAAGTCACATATCCATTCCTTTTGTTTTCAATGATAGTCAGTCATTGTTGACTAACATCACTGAATAAGAGCAGAAAAATAAAAAAATTATCTACATACGTACTTGTATTGGCTCCTGCTGTTTAAAGACAGGGCCAAGGTCAGGTAGAATTAATTTGATATATTCTTCTTTGGTGCATTCTTCAGCAATCAGTAGAACATTGGGCAAAACAAAAGGTACCATGTCAGGGTTTACAAATTCTGAAGTCAAACAAGGCAAAATTCTCTGCACAATGACACGCTGAAAGAAAAACATGTTTTCATAAAACTAAATTTTATTTCAGGTCTTTAGTATTAACATAGAAATTATAGTTTAAAATCTCCAATCCCTTTGGATAAAGTGCCCTTATAATTTATGGTTGAAACTGGGACACTTTTTATTCATCCTTACCCGAGGACATTTTTGCATTTGTCTTCAGATAGAGCAGGAGGGAGAGAGGGGGAGAGAGAGAGAGAGAGAGAGAGAGAGAGAGAGAGAGAGAAACATCGATGTGACAGAGACACATCGAGTGGTTGCCACCCACACGACCCCAAACGGGGCCGGGAACAAACTGCAACCGAGATACATGCCCTTAGAGGGAACCGAACCCAGTTCTCTCTAGTCTGTGGGCCGACGCTCTAACTGCTGAGCCAAACCGGCCACGGTGAAACTGGGACACTTAGAGTAAAATAGGGTACTATTACCAATTATGCCAGGACAAAAGGCATAACTAGGTAATGTCACAGATAAAAGGGGATACATAATCATCCTGCCTTTAGAAGACCTTCCCAAATTGGTTTTCATGAATATGTTTTCCCTCTTAATTCCTTCATTACATATGATTCATACCACATAATTTAAACACTGTCCTATATTGTTAATTGTTGCTTCATGCACATTAACCCTATTTACACTTACAGTAAGGGCTTTGAGAGCAAGAACACTTTTTGTTTCCTCTCTATTCTCCATAGCATCAGGCTAGACAAGGAGTACATAATCAATGAATATCTGATAGATTAAACACTGGAGATAATTTTGTAACCCAAAATTATTAGTTTTCCAACCAGTGGTTTCTTTTTTTTTCCAATCCTTACCTGATGATATTTTTCCATTTACCTTCAGACAGAGTGGGAGAGAGGAAGAGAGAGAGAGAAACAACGATGTGAGAGAAACACATCGACTGGCTGCTTCCCGCACGACCCCAACCAGGGCCGGGGATGAACCGCAACCGAGGTATGTGCCCTTGGCCAGAATGGAACCTGTGACTCTTTGGTCTGCGGGCCAACACTTCAACTGCTGAGCCAAACCAGCCAGGGCCAACCAGTAGTTTCTTT